TGGAGGATCTGAATTTGTGTTGTGACTACATACTAAAAAATATGTGTTTTGTATGTATAATATTGGGTGTAATATTGGATTTGGGCGTATTGTATGTACAAATGACTATGGTCACTGGTCAAAAGACATACCAAATTGGTACAAAAGTGGAGTTTTTTTGACCATATTTCTCTTGGATTTGCAGTAGAGAAATGTTCCATCCTCTATAATGTGTAAATAGCAGCCAAAGCCAGTATGAATATTAATAAACTTGCCTCATGCAGGAATCCCACCATAGAATCCTGGAAAGTCCCCAAGCTTAACCCACTCATACACTCCTCTGGGTTTTTATATATATCTATACGTTTGTGCTATATACTTTGACTTTCTTTGGCTGAAGACTACATACTCACCTGAAGTCCCTGCACCGATGCATATATGTAGTAGTAGTTGAAGCTGTAACCAATACGCCTTAGTGCTTGCACATGCACGTTACATCAGTAAGCACAATTCTTTATTTTACATTAATGTACAGAACTCCTCCCATTACGATGTCCTGGAAGCCTTTTGTTCACAGAGCACACAGTCTATATAGTTAAATATTTATGACATTTTTATATGAAATATTAAAAGCATTCAAATGTAGACCACTGGTTGAAAAGACAGCGAAAAATTCAGTCCGAACCAATCATTTTTCAACCTACAAATCAATTTTTAAATCCCGGTTGGAGCTCACTGGGTAAGGCTGGGAGGAAGTGAAATACCAGTTTTGTCTGAGACCTGAGGATCCCAAGCTAAAGATGAGTTAGTGAAGTAGAAGTAGTTTGAAGCTTATACATGTTTGTTTGGTGGTTTGAAAAAACCTTTTGTGATTTGATTAGTGTGAGCTGAATGCTTCAGAGATATTATGTTTCAGCGGTTATTAACCAGCTGTTAAAATCTGCAATATGTGTCTATGTATAAACCACTAGCATATCTCTGTTTAAGGTTAACAGTATTACAATATGTTGTAGGGAGTATTATACATATTCTAATTGCAATCCCAACAGTGCATGTTAGAGACCTTTGCAGTATGTATTGCAGTTTGGTTCACCCATTTTATGAATAATGAATTGTAATTAGAGCTCTAATTATGCTCTGAAATATTCACAGGTTTTTGCTTAATAGGTCCCGTAATGCATTTGGTTGGGGTGAAAATGAAACAACAAATGACACATAAAACAGGGGGTGTGAAAGAAAAAAAAAAGTCCAAATGGTTCACAGAAGCAATAAAAGATCTCTGCCAATAATGACACACAAACATATCCAGCAGAGAGTTTGAATACACAGAGCTGTGATGAAGCAAATAGTGAGACAACAAAAGATTAGACTTTTCAACTAATCCTTCAAACTATTAACTTTCATATTATATTCACAGTTGGCTGTAAACACTTGGCTATAAACCAGGTTTTCTGCATGGTGTGATGCTGGAAATGTAGAATGAACTGAATATGAAACAAAGTTAATCACAATTTGAAGTACAGTTACCACTGAGGCCCACGAAGTGTTTGCATGTTTTTCCTCACTACCAGCTACACACACTAACACACACCACTGCTGTCCACTTTCACTTTAGCCCAGAATCAATCTCCAAAGATTATAGTACATCTAAGGAAAAACAATAGAAAAATATCACCCCCACACCACAAATGTATTACTGTATTTGCCAGCAGTCTAGCTGCTAACATTGTCCTTTTGTCGGTTGGTCCCTCACTTTGGTCCAGACTGATATATCTCAACTATTGGATAGATTGCCATGATATTTTGTGTACATTACCTTGGGAATGAAGCATACTGACCTTTCCTCTAGAGCTGCCAAGAGGTTGAGATGCCTGCTATGTGTTGTTAGATTGTCATGAAGTTTGGTACAGACAGTCACGTTCTCCTCAGGATGAATAGAAAACTTTGGTGATCCTCCTGACTTTTCATCCAGCACTATCAGTATTAATTTTTAACAGTGGGGATGGCCCAATGGGAGCACCCTATGAAAAGACAGGTTATTTTTAAGCCTGTTATATAAGCTATATAATGAGAGTAGTTATAGAGAATATTATAGATCCAAGATGAAACTGACTGAACTTTTCACTAGTTAGGCTATTGATAATTCAGAACCATGGCTAGGACTCAGGGCCATCTAACGTACACAAACCCCAGACAGATAAAGGATCAATGACTCAGGCAGACTAAACTAACATATTAAACCAAACAAACCCTCTCCCCCTGCACTCTGTCTGCTACTCAGGCAGCGGTGTTAAAATAATTAAATTAAAATTAAAATTCACGCCATATGAATTACTTTTCTGACTCACATATTTCCCCCGACTGTTGTCTCTCGTCTCTCCCGTGTGTGTATCTCACTCGCTGACTCAAGTCGTAATGCTTATTGTAATGCAAAGATTTGATTGACTGAGTAGCATCACGTGAGATGATTAACAGCACATGCAATTGGTCTGTGAGTTTCCTGTGATGCTAAAACAGTGCCCTTCAAGGCTAGAAAGGTTGCACAAGTTAAAACACGTCAAAATTAAATGATTCTCACTAATTTATTGGTGGTAGGTCTGGATCGGGATAGGATGGTGTCTGGATTTGGTCCCTAATCACAGTCCGTCTATTACCGACCTTTGTACTAGGGTATGGTGAGGGGGGATGTAGTATTTTAGTCCCATTCAAGCTGCCTAGTGAGCCCGATCGTCAGATCAAAATTTTAATTTGTCCAAAACTTTGGTTTATGACCAAATACCTGAAAAACTAATGACAATTCCATCAGTCTTAGCTGTACTTTGTTGTTAATGCTTCCATACATTAGCAAGTAAACATACCTGTTAACTTCAGCACGTTCATATTGTCATTTTGAACATGTTAGCATGCTGACATTAGCATTTAATTCACAGCACCACTGTGTCACAGAGCAGCTAGCATGGATGTAAATGCACCTACAGACAATTCATATTCTGTTCTCCCCATAACATAACCAGGTGGAGTTCATAAAACATTTCTGCAGGTTTAATTAAAAAACGCCCATTGTCAATGTTAAGAATTTCAGAGGAGGTGTGTGATTCCATGCACCATAATCCTCTCAGCTGACTTACTATTGTCTCCTGCTTGATTAAATTCAGAACAGCTGGCTCAGCAGTAGCAGTCTGTCCATAGCACCCGCATACACACCACTACATCTGGCGTTATAGGGCCAATTACCACAACACAGCAGTTATGATATCAAAGATCAAAGACACCATCAATTGTTAAAGTGACATCAAGAGACGCATGATCCGAGGCAATTACCAGTTTCTTACAAGCCTCTGAGATTAAGAGGGAGAGGAGGCATTATAAAGTAGATTGTACCGTCACGTGTCAAGTGGATCTGTATGTCAATAAATATGGGTCTCCTTGGATGAATAATGATAGAGAATTTGTAGTTTCAGGGAATCCTAAAGGTTATCAGTAAACATTCATAACAGAGGCAAATGGTTGTGTGAGTGTGTGTGTGCGTGTGTGAGAGTGAGTGCAGCGCTGAAGAGGAGATGAGCCACTGCTATCTGTTTGACATTTCTGTCAGTACTGGTATTTGAACTGCTGGGTAGCTTTGACAAATGCCATGGCTGTCACAGGCTCGATTTTAATTACACCTGACTGGGTCTTTCAGGGGCTCAGGGATGAACTTAATTAGCTAGCAAGCACTCGTCCTAGTTCTGGCTTTGGTTGGTACAACTCGCACCACTTCTTCGGTGGCTTTTCATTGGCATTTTAATGGTCTCGGTCTATACAGACAGACCGTATTAACAAATGAGGGGGGAGAGCAAATGGGCCCGGGCTATGGCAGGAGTTTACTTTTCAATACCAATTTGGATGTTAATGTTTTGTCGCTGTATAAATGGAGATGCTTTTAAGTGCCACAGACTATAATCGAAATGGAAGGGGTTGACTATGCAGTACAACCTCAAAACCACACTAAATGTGACACCATGGCATTATAAGAGTATTGTATTAAATTAAGTAGAGCATGCCAGTACGAAGTGCTTTCATAGTGATACACAGTCTGATCTACTTTTCATCCAGGCCAGGCCAGTTTGCACAAATGAATTGCTTGGAAATATGAAAATAATAAACCAAACAAGTGAATGTAAAAATGTGCTTGGCAACAAAAACATAGACATAATGCCTATGGGTAACCAAGAACAATTTCTACTCAATAAAGCATGTATAATAATATCAGGAAAACTTTTGGTTCCTTTTTTTATTTTTACCAGTTTCTTACAAGGAAAGAAGTTTTCAGTTAAATAGAAGTACAGAACAGTCTTCGGGCAGTTAGTGTATCCGATTCCAATTTCAGCTATAGCACACTGACAACTTAAGATAATACAGGGACCAGAGTATCCCAGTAGCTCTCCCCTGCATATGACAAGGCCATAGCAATGATTAAGTGGTTGGTACATTTTAATGAACACAAAATCATCCAAGTGTAAGGCAATTTTAATTGAAATTTCCCTCTGTTTAATATCTTAACATATCCACAAAGGGGAGAAAAGTTACTCACTTGCAGAGATATGAGGTGTGTTCAGTGAACACATAATTCTATTGTTTCAGTGAGTACACTGGTCAGTGACTTGCTGTAATTGCTGTTCTTTGTGCTGGTTACTCTTCTGATATGACACCATTTCCTGACACCCTCCACGTCTCTTCTTTATTTGAGAACAGCACAGATTGTTTCTCACTTTCACACAGTTCACACCAACCGCTTCACAGAAAAGTACAAACAAATTTGTAAAGCAAGAAAAATAACTTTATATATTATAAAATATAAATAATAAATATTAAAATATTCAATTGTACACGTATTGTGCTAGAAAACGTTCAATATCATCTAAGTGTTATGTTCAAGATTCAGGAGCTAAAATCTTTCACTACACAGTACAGGTGCCTGTCACCAAAGCAGATTTCAATTCTTCCTTGTGTCTGAATAAAAAAAACATGATCCAGTGCGATGTTATACCAAAAACCAATAATTTATTATCATTTCTTTTGCAAAGATCATCATTATCACACATTTTACCTGGCTACAAATGTGCCAACTACGCATTACTTGAAAGTAGACCATTGACATTGACTCCAAACAAATACAGGGATTGATTTAAAATTTACAATATTTCAGTTAAAAATGAGGCATTTGGAATGAGTATACTGTACACGTAACTGAACTATAAAGTCTGCTTGATAAATGGCAACCCATTCATTTCACCACTTTAGTTTTTTTGATCTAATATGCTGTGTTCTGAGTCCTGCTCAGTGGCAATCATCCCAACACAAGTTTAATGTGACTGCAAACATAATTCAGTAATGACTATACAATTTCTATGAATTTTTCCTGTTACTAAAAACTCAAATTATACAATGAATGAATAAGGCTGAATAATACCTCTCTCTTGCACGGAGATATCCAGAGACAGTTTGTCTGTGCATGAAGTCAGTTTGCCACACAAATGCATCATTGATTCAGTTTTTGCTGTTAAGGCTATGCTGAGTAAAAGGTGTAGGTGGAGAGTAAAAATTATGTAAAAATGCTGGTATGTGAAAGCTATGCGCAGGTCCATCTGTTGTTGAATATGTAGAAAAAAACTTAAGCAAAATAAAACTGAATACAAAATATTTTTATCCAAAGCTGCAAACCATACAAACAAAGCTGCAGCACTGGCAATGAGTCAGAATATCGTGGACTGGATTTCTGTGTACCCTTACACCAAAAAAATCTCGAACTATTTTAGAAGTACAATATATAGTACATACATACTTTGTCCACAAAGTTGTTTTTCCGTTCAGTGTAGCAGCTTAACTATCTCCTAGTTTGTTGCTTTGTAAGAAAGTGGCTTTAGTTCAGAAATAAAAGAAACAACATATGCAGAATTTCACTGGAACATGAGGTATCAAACTTTCAAAAGATGCTTTTACAAAATTGCTGATGATAAAAATGATATTAGCAAAAGTTATTTGTTGACCAGAAACTTCTGCTCATATTAACAATTTACGATGTTCAGTCATCTAAAACCTCAACCAACCCCCCAGATTACCAGATACCACATTTTGAGGTGAAACATTATGAGTTTGAAGGCAGTTTTTCCCGTTCAGCTCATTGGATTTATTTCCAATTCATCAAATTTGGGATAAAAGACATTCTTGCTGTAGTTATACTCTATATTTCATTAGGAGCCAGTTATACAGTACTATGTTTGGAATGTGTGATATCTATGTCCATTTAAAGCTGAAAATTGTACCTCCTTTTAACTGTTTTTTAAACTGACTTAAACTATGATCATTTTAGGATACTTGTATGGTGGACTTTGACTAGCTGGACTTCTAGTCTAAGTCTATGCACCAATAGTCTGAACCGTAATTTCAATTACGTTTGACAACATTGAGAGAGTAATTTATTTCAGCTTTAAAGGATAATGAGATCTGTTTATTAAAGGAGCATTAAAACAGTAAGTGAAAGGTAGGACACCCACTGATGCACTGTGTGTTGCAACCAGCAAGCGTACATAAGACAACAAAGAAAATAATTAACATTTCTTAAGATGCTCATACAACTTTTTTGAGTTATATGGTTACAACATAAATATGAAAATATAATTGAAAAGATAAACATGTTTAGAGCGAAGTAATAAAATAATTATATAGTCATAATTTCCTAGAAAAAAATGCTTTTCCCGTAGACTGATGTGAAAAAAAAAATACTTAAAGAACATGAAGAAAATGTCATGATACCACTGATAAATTCTTTACAAAATGCTTTTTTGGGTTACAAACTGTGAAAAATATTCCTATTGTCCTCATAAAAACGCCACATTGAACGAGGCAAGTATATTATACCGCATGGGGTAGAGAGTGTGTGTGTTTTTATACAGTAGTGACTGATAGGAAGGCGTTGTGCACCTTGGCTCCCTCAGGGGCCTTAGTGCCGTGAGTCATCAGCTCCTGGATGGTCATCCAGTTGTCCAGGATCTTCTTGTTGCGTTTCTTCATCATCTTCTTGTGGCTGAGCTCTATAATGCTGACTTCCTTGCGACCCTCGCTGCTGCTCTGAGGGTTCTCCTTCAAACTTTCCAGCCGACTGCGCTGCATGAACTCTCGTCTTTTCCTCTGTTCTTTTGCTCTGACCAGGTGCTGCTTTCTTTCCTCTTTACTCCAGTACCTCCCCATCTTCATTTCACTCATTGCATCATCATCCGTTGTCATTCCCCCGCTGCGCTCTTCTTTAATCTTTAGGGCTCGCTCCCTCAGGATCTTGTCTCTCACAGGCCTCTTTGTGATGTAGCGTGTGCCGTCGCTGCGGATCTTGACCTTCCACTCCATCTTGGGCTCATTAATGGGCCTCTGAGGCTCTTTGCAGACACTGAGGAGGCTGAGCTGGCTTTGAGCATACTCCACAGCTGAGCGCTGCTGGATCAGCTGCATGTAGCTCTGGTAGTGGCGGGCATGAGCTGGGATGTTGACCTGCCTCTGCTGGGAACTGTGGGATGGAGAGAAGTAAGGAATCTGAGAAGCACGTGGCTTTAATTTCCCACCGATCTCCTCCTCAGCTTGAGGAGTCTGATTCGACTCAGAGGGATTGCTGTGGTCAGGGCTGCTGCTTTTGCCTGGTGCTGGAGCACGGCATGCTGGGACGGGGCTTGGGCTTAGAGAAGGGCCAGTGGCAAGGCCACCACAAAGGTTCCTCTGGTTGGTGAGACTAACCATCCTCTGGAGTGAATGCTCTGGGGAACGATCCATTGCCAGAGGGGTGCTCCGTGAGCTCTCTGCTGTGTTATAGGCACTGGAGCTGTCCTTGTCCGATTTCTCCAGCCTCTCATTAATGTCAGCCAGCTTACCCTTTGTCTGCTCACTCTGATGGAAGCTTTGGTTTTTGGTTGAGGGTGCAGAGCGACCCGAGGAGGGAGACTGTTGGCCCTTCCGAAGGTTATGGGCCTGCATGATGTTCTGACATTCGAGCTCGATGCTGCGCAGCTCCTCGTTAAGCATACGTAGCTCATGCTGCATGCCGCCCTGCTCCCCCATGCTGCACTCGATGGTGCTGCGGCGGCTGTAGAACAGGTCGTACTCACCGCTGTTACGTATCTGACACTTCAGTTCCAAGAGCTGTTGGAAACGATCACCCTCAGTGTCATCATCGTCCTCATCCTCTTTGTCCTCCAGCCTTGTGGAGCTGGTGGTACGGTGTGTGTCCCGATTGTCTCTTAGGCACTGGGACAGACGTCTCTGGATGTGTGCCAGGACATTATGCTCTGAGCTTTCCATTCTGTCTCTTATACTCAGTACACTATCCTTATGATGAGGTAGCGTGGAGCAGGTGGGCTCATCTTCTGCTCTCTGAAATGAATGAGATAAACAAAACAAAACAAGCCTGAACCACACTTTTATAAATATGCGGCACTTACGGCACATGCAAAATTGTGATAAACTACTTTCTTTTAATGATCCACATAAAGATTGTTTTTTTTATCGATCTCTGAAACGTAATGTGTATGTTTGCAAATATGATATGTTTTAAGTGATTAAACATATTTACAAATGTTTTACCTTCCTTTTTTATGGAATGAGGTCAGAAACCAACCAAAAGTAACCAGAAATAAAGTATTTCATTTCAAGTGCAACCCTATTCTGCATTCTCCTGAAGGATTACATGTTCTGTTGTGCATAACTTTGTTATACAGCTCTGTTACTTCAGGGATTGTTTCGTCTCTGCCATGTCTTTGAAGTTCCATTTATATGGGTTTTTTGTAGCATGCTATCCTTCCAACAAAACAGAATTTTAAATTATGATTACTAATGTTTGGAATTAGAATGGTTCAACAGTCCCCTTACATAAATATTCATAATCATTATTTTATATTCATATTTCAAAGGGCAAAGCTTGTTTTCATTGTTTTGCTAAGAAAGTCAATGAAAAGTTTGATTTAGTCTCTGCCGCCAGCTAAATCTGGTTGGAATTGACTTTGAATAATGACCTAATACAGTCAAAGCAAATACTGGTCAGTCTAATGGGAAGGTGTTCATAACACAGTGGGTACTCTGGTCTGTCAATAGAAAGGTTAACTTAAAGCTATTGATTTCTTATTTACTAGTTTTTAGGGGCTTAATTTCTATTGATCAGAGGAAATACAAAGAAGCAGACTTCCCAGAGATTTCTTAAAAACCCAGATAAAAAAGCTTTGTCAATGAACCTCAAATCCAGTTATACAAAGCATGTGATTTGCTGCTGTCTGACCTGCTCATACTCCTGCTCCTCCTGTAAGGCAGCCAATTCCATCTCCTCTCTCTGTTGCTCCTCCAACATTTCCATCTTCAGCTGCTCCAGGAACTCACTGTGCTCATCATCCAGCCAGGCCTCCTCCAGCTAAGGGTGAATGAAAAAGGGAAGCATATGGAGAGAGAGAGAGAGAGAGGCGAGAGTTATTTGTCAAGGCCTAAAGCTTGTGGCGACACGGTGTCTCAAAACAAATAGTTGGGTGTTCCAAATGGGTGCCCAAATGGGATTTTCGGAAAAAACACCCAGCATGGTTTTGAAACAAGAAACTGCAGACGCATCAATGTGATGTAGTGTTTGACTGATGTGTACACTACCGCTCATCTTTAAAACATGCATTATAATCTTAAAATCAAGCCAATACAGTTTAATGGACATAAGACTGCCACCTTTGACCTATTTGCACCACACCATCCATCATCTGTTTGTCTGCTCGATGTGAACCAAATGGGATCCATATATGAAGACTTCAGATTTACTACTGAGGGACACATTTAATTACAAAGAGTCTACTATTGCTCCTGGCTCATCTGCACTGCGGCAGAGTCCTTTCGCTTATTCGCCATCGGCCTTGAGCCTGAACTCACTCCACATTAGCATGCCATTAGCTTTTATGGCTTACCGTTGGAAGTCAATTACAGTGGCGCTACATAAAAATAAAACATGATGAGATGTCTCAGCGGTGGCTTCCACTAGGAGTGGTTGTGGCAGTGGGGAGGGGGAGGGTTGGCTACCCCAGACTGCTAAGGTTTACTCTGAGCAAATATACTGTAAATGACAAACCTGCAGGGCTGTAATTTGTGAGACGCATGCTTCCCTTACCCATGTTACCCATTTCATTCAATGGCTCAAAGATATGTATGTCACTGAAAGTGTGTGGTCATTTCTAACCTGCATCTCAGGTCTGGCAACCAGCAGCACGATGTTCCTACACTCATCACTGGAGAGCGCAGCCATGGCTTCCTCTCTGTCTTGTACATCTTGGCCATTAATCTGAAGATGACAAACAAACATGATTACCACACTCACCATTAAGTCGGATGCAAGCAGGCAAACATGTATTGTATACATAATTGCAAACGTGAACACATGCATGCACATACACACACACAAGCACAAACACACTGGGGCCAGCTTCATTCTCTCAATATAAAAAGAAAAATAAAGTGCCACAATAAGGGTAGCATCGAACAATAATCCTTTTTTTCCCCCTTGTAAACACTGCTCCCTAATATGAAGCAGGACCCAGCAGTGATTATGAATGGGACAGTGGCTGTGGGCCGACGGAGCTGTTCTGTTCACCAAAGTATCCGGCAGCGTACATACATCTAGCCGTACAATTAACTGGCCACTGACAGGGGGCGTCCATCTTTTTGCTGGGAGAGTAATGGCCCTGTCACTGGTGGATAATAGTGCCAGAGTACTGGTCTGCCTCACAAACACACACACACTCTCTCCTGGCTTAAATCAGTCACACAACACATGGTAGACACAGGTACACAATTAGACTAACAGAGTTTATGCATCCTCCCCCCACATCTAATCCTCGCTTCTGCAGACCATTTACAGCTTCCTTGACTTTATTCCTGTTTCCTCACTCAATACATTACTGTACTCATTCAAATACTTTGTATTGCATAGAATACTACTGTGTGCTTCTCCATTCATAGACATTCACTTCATCTGCCATTCATACCGTAACTACCGTTCACTGTCAGTGTTAGAATAGTTCACATCACCTATTTGTGGCATCAAAAATGATGCGTACACTTTTAAATGTAAAGTAAAACATTGCTGTTTCTGGGACTTTGCTCTCATCGATCATGTTTCCAGCAGCTGTAGGGAACTGTTTTCAGTAAAAAAGCCTTCATAAACCCACTGCAGTTTGGTGCTTGGAAGGTAGAGTACACACTAGGTGACTAGGTGGTGAACATAATGAACACCTAGCACGCTTATATCTCCCAGGAGTTGGTGGTGACCAAAACATAACCATAAGGAAAGTGAATATTAAACTCATCAGGTGGATAAAAATCTGTTCCAAATCAGTCCTAATGTTGCTCTGTCTGCTGAATATGTAAAAAGGAAATTGCTTGCCATAACAATTAAATAAGGTGATAATAGATGTTGCTTTCAGCTTGTTTAGCTGCCCTCCAGTGGCCAAAATAAGTCCACTAATGTATTTTTAACATTGAAATTAGTGGATCTGACTCACCTACACAAAAACAGTAATTACCCACCTAACCCATTAGCGGCGATACTATCCAGCCCTAACAACTGCTTCTCATTGTCGGTATCAGAATTCTCAGGCCTGAAGATTAAGCTAGGGGCCAATAACAGTCATAGCCTCTCAGCTATCCCACAGGAGGCAGTGTGCTGCAGCACAGCGCCACCCTGAACCAGAACTCTTAAAAACCTCTGCTGGTGCTGAGTCGATAACTAAAACAGCCAGGGGGGCATTTCTCCCCCTCTAACAGTCACAGCGGGGGCGAGTTCCCCCTTTTAATGTACTGCCATTAAAAATGAATGGGCTCTCGTGCTGGGAGACAGTGGTTGAGTGCGACAAAATAAAAGCCGGTTTTTATGTTGAATCTAATGAGAGCTTGTGTAGAGGGGGCCAGTGACAGAGTGTGTCCTACTGTACCTGTAAAATGCGATCCCCCTCCCGGATCCTTCCATCTCTGGCAGCGAGGCTGTTTGGACTGATCTGTGAAGGTAGAAGGAACAAAATAACTACACACAGAAATAAGACACTTTCAATCTTCTTTCAAGAGAATCACTGAGTGCCTGGAAATGTTTTAACTCATTATGTAGACATCTCCCAGCTAGACATGTCTAGACTGTTATTAACAATGTGAACACCACACAATAGCTATGCTGCCATGGGAAGACCTTAGATGTTAAATGGCTTGTCTGAAGGTGTCTGGTCAGTTTTCAAAGCCATTTTAGCCCAGAGGAAAAGCCCCGATACACTGAGGTATCACCTTTATCATTTAAGTCCTCAATTGTACCTGCCTCAGTTGTTATATTCTGGCAGATTTATATAGAACAAACCTCTGCATATAGCATTTACAGCCTGTAATTCAACCTAAATACATGATGCACCTGCCCCCCCTCCCGTAACTAATGCTGGTGAACAAGGGGGCAGGACACTCTTTCATCAGCCAATCAATCGGTGTCTGGGGCCATTCGTTTTACTCTCTCCTGTCTGGTGGGATCTCTGGAGATGGAGAGGGGCTGTGGCACTCCATCTTTATGATAGTCCACTCCTACACAGAGGAGCACTCATTAAACTGGGAGGGAGGTCACTATACAGGAATGGGGGTAGGACTGGAGGGAACAGCGCAAATTGAAGGTAAACTTTCTGCAGTTATGGGGGAGGGGACCCAATCCCTGAATAATCTACAACAGAAAATTTGAATACAGGAATATAAATGATATCGTTGTGCTGTGGTTACAGCTTTGCCACACAACAAGAAAGTTTTGAGTTTGCTTGTCTGACTGTGTTGGGAATAAAATAGATCTGGAGGAAAAATGAACAAAGACTTGGAAGGTGGCCTGAAAAATTGCCCTTTATTGAGAATGAGAGTGTTTGTTGGCCCTGCAATAGACTGGCAACTTGTCTAGGATGGACTCTGCCTTTTTGCCCTTTGCATGCTGGGACAGACTCCACTCCCCTGTGTCCCTGAGAAGAACAAAGAAAACAGGTACAGAAAATGCAGGAACCGGTGAACTAAAGAAATGTTCTTTTCTGCTCTTCTGCTGAATTATTTAACCACTGTACTATGAGACACAATGGAAACAAAGGGAAATCAACTTAAATAACAACAGAGTAAAAAACAATGCAGCCATTCATTAAGCACAACAAAGTTGCGAAATTTAGCTTGTTTTAAAATGACCTTGCATTGTTCTTAACTCTCATGTTGATGTGTACTCGCTATTTATGCAAGATCAGAGCACGTAACACCTCCTCAAACACATCCTGTATACAGTGACAGTCAGCCACCTCATCTAAATGCAGCACACACCTCTTAGCCCTACTTTTTTTGCAGAGCGAACACTTAAAGATGCTGCCAGGAGCCACAGACCACAGTGATTTATATTCCTCTCAGCTCTCAAAGCGAACACCATGCAGGGTCCGAGTCAACTTCAAACGAATCAGAGAGAAAGTTGAGCAGAATGGAGAACAGTATTTTCTATTCTTCCAACAAGTGGGAGAAAAATGCTAACATATATCTCACAAAGAATGCTTGTTGATGTCAGCTGTATTAAAAGGACTGGGTGAACAACTCAGGCAAGACCTGAGAGCATTTGTGTTTGTTTTGTTTTTTTGTCTTGGCAGTCATAATGTGTAATCATGCAGTTAGAACATTGCCAAACTGTTCAATAATGTCATTTGTGTTTGATAAAAAAGTTCAATTTTAAAATGACTATACCCAATAGAGAAACTTGCTTTGCTCACATGAATACTAAAGTAAATCATAAATGGGAAGATGAATATTAAATGTCACAATTGATTAAGTCTTAGAAATCCAGTCTTCGTTGTTTAGGCATTTTACTGAGGGATTCTAATCCAACCATAATGATTGTCTGTTTCCACAACAGTATGTGGTATGTAAATGTAGACTTCAAAGAACTGAAATACAAGGAATATGTAGAATATGCATATACCTTCCACCTCCAGAGTATTAATATTTTCATTTTTCAAACAGCTAGCAATCCTAACTGTGGTGGTTGGCAAAAAAAAATAAATAGCAGGAGGTGAATGCTATGTATGTTCCATGTTCTTTTATAGTATCTCCAGGAGCAAAGCAGAGTGGGGAAACATCAAAGAGATACAATTCTGTGTTTAGAGATGGAGTATGAAAGTATGAAAAGTTTTCTCATGCCAAACTAAGTTGGAAGATTCAACACTCATGGTCTTATATGAAGGAAATGAACCCTTTAAACTCGTCATTGAAGTCATCTTGAAGGGCACGTTATCTACTCACCTCACTAACATAGATGGCCACATCCTCCTCTTCATCTGTTCTGTAGCACAGAGTTAGCCCCAACTTCTCTTGGCTGTTGAGTCGACACAACTCCACTTCCTATGTAGATAAGAGGGAAAATACATTAAATATAAAGAGTTTACGTTCACGCACGCCAGGTACAGTGTTGCTTTGAGCTAAAGGATATTATCTGCATGCTAACTGACAATGCTAACAAGCTGATGTTTAGCAGGTATAAGGTTTACCACGTTTAATCTCTTAGTTTAGTGTGATGGAGTTTGTCCAGTTGTCGTGGAATTGTAGATAGTCAATTTTTAATTTTTTGGTGAACTTGGAAGAGAAATCTGTTAAATGTTTAAAGAAGAAATTTACTAGAATTCCATGACGACTGCACTAATTCCATCTGCTAAAGAAGATTAAAAGTCTCCAGAATGGCCACTAAATGAACATATAATATTGTCTTGCTGACATAGAGGACACCTGTAACCTTTAATGAAGAAACAGAAAGTGATCAGAGACTAAAAATAAGTTCTATAAGCTTAGTATAAAACTAAATCTTGATGCATAACAATGGCTAAGCAAACATAAGTTTTTTCTCCACTGATCAAACAACAATGTTCTTCAAGTTTTCAGCAGAAAAATCCTTGTTTTTCAGACACTTATTGAGTCTGGATTGCCAACTCTCATCTGAGGTTTTAAAGTCTGAAAGTGTTTGATCATGAAAGACATTCTCAGCTTGCACGGTTTGATCGGTAGGGCTTTGATAAATGTCAGAGGACCTCGAGTGTTTTTCTTTCAAGCTGCTGCCAAGTTATAGAATATTAGACTATAAATAAAGTATAATTATGCTAATGCTACCAGATATACATATTTGCTGCAGCTCTAAAGTATCCCCCATCTTCCTGTGGGGAGAGATCAACAAACTATTGACTTACAAATCAGTGGTCGTCAAATTTCCCATGAGCCTCTTAGAACATAGCAAAGTACCCTAGCGTCAACATGGATCCTTCATTTAAGTTCATAAATACAAACACAGTGAGATTTGATTATTCACAGCTAGAACAGAATATGTTGTGAATATGGAACCAAACACAAGTTCCAATTTCTCTCAAGCTTGCAGACAGTTTATGTACCTAACCCACTTTGCACTCTCAGTTTCCCACAACAGAGGTGCATACAGCACACAGCACAAGCCTGTGCTCTATCTCCAAACGCTGAAACATATCAAGGGTGTTGGAAGGAATCAAGTGTGAAATGGCCTCTCCTCCCAAAGTCTTCATTAGAGCAGAAACACACCAACTTTCAGCAGCAGGAGCCAGGTGGTTGAGTGGAGAGGAGGATGGAGGGGGCAGAGAGAAATGAGGCAGCAGTGAGGGCTCTGGTGGGGCTCAGAGGGGTCGCACACAGAAACAGAGATTCATTTCCTCTGTGACAAGTGAGGGTTGGCTGGTTACACATGTCAGATGTGACGGGGCTTTGGGGATGGTGAAGTCTGACCATGGTGGGATATGATGAGGGGGAAAGGCCAATACCACTGCCAGAGAGCCACCACCTGGTGCCTCTGGCTACCCTTCCTAAGCTGTTTATGACCCCCCACTTCCTCACACACACACACACA